GATATTGTTGAGGAAGAGGAGAGGGCAGGCTAGCAGAGATTGCTGAGGAAGAGGAGCGGGCAGGCTAGCAGAGATTGTTGAGGAAGAGGAGAGGGGCAGGCTAGCAGAGATTGTTGGAGGAAGAGGAGAGGGCAGGCTAGCAGAGATTGTTGAGGAAGAGGAGAGGGCAGGCTAGCAGAGATTGTTGAGGAAGAGGAGAGGGCAGGCTAGCAGAGATTGTTGAGGAAGAGGAGAGGGCAGGCTAGCAGAGATTGCTGAGGAAGAGGAGAGGGCAGGCTAGCAGAGATTGTTGAGGAAGAGGAGAGGGCAGGCTAGCAGAGATTGTTGAGGAAGAGGAGAGGGCAGGCTAGCAGAGATTGTTGAGGGAAGAGGAGAGGGCAGGCTAGCACAGATTGTTGAGGAAGAGGAGAGGGCAGGCTAGCAGAGATTGCTGAGGAAGAGGAGCGGGCAGGCTAGCAGAGATTGTTGAGGAAGAGGAGAGGGCAGGCTAGCAGAGATTGTTGAGGAAGAGGAGAGGGCAGGCTAGCAGAGATTGTTGAGGAGAGAGGAGAGGGCAGGCTAGCAGAGATTGTTGAGGAAGAGGAGAGGGCAGGCTAGCACAGATTGTTGAGGAAGAGGAGAGGGCAGGCTAGCAGAGATTGCTGAGGAAGAGGAGAGGGCAGGCTAGCAGAGATTGTTGAGGAAGAGGAGAGGGCAGGCTAGCAGAGATTGTTGAGGAAGAGGAGAGGGCAGGCTAGCAGAGATTGTTGAGGAAGAGGAGAGGGCAGGCTAGCACAGATTGTTGAGGAAGAGGAGAGGGCAGGCTAGCAGAGATTGCTGAGGAAGAGGAGAGGGCAGGCTAGCAGAGATTGTTGAGGAAGAGGAGAGGGCAGGCTAGCAGAGATTGTTGAGGAAGAGGAGAGGGCAGGCTAGCAGAGATTGCTGAGGAAGAGGAGCGGGCAGGCTAGCAGAGATTGTTGAGGATGTGCAAAAAGATGCATGCAAAACAGGATTAAGCGCACAGTTTATGAATTTGTTTTGGATTTCTTTGAAACATCTGAAAACTGAAAAAAGTGTCTTTCGTCTAAAATTCGTTATCCTGATGCTCCAATTAAAGACGAGCCCTCAACTGTTACAGAATTTCCGCGAGGCCCCAATGGACGAGTTGTGGGAGCTGCGCCAGAGCCGGTCAAGCCGAAACGCCACCTCCCGAGGCGGAAGCGTGTCCAGAAGCATAGGAGGGATACGGTAGCTGCCAATGTCGATAATATGGCTCAAGTGGCGCTGACGACGATCGCCCCGGCGACCAAGGGGGTAATTTTGGGAGTCATGGGTTCGGAGTTGAGCTTCCAGGGCTTCGATGTGGCTTTGAAAGGGCTTGGGCATGGGCTTAGGCTTGTGGTTAGGCTTAGGCTTAGGCTTAAGGCTTGACGATTTAGATGTTGTAGCTAAGCTTCCAGCCTTGGAAAAATTGAGCTTCGGAAGTCGACTTAGCTGGCTTGGCGGGCTTGGCCGGGGGCTATGGGGGGCTTGGCTATAAAATTTTAGCCACAGTATTGGGCTTGAAGGTTTCATGAACTTAGAATTCCGCCTCCAGGCGCTTGAGCTCAAAAGCTCCAGGAATCCGCTTCTTCTGCTTCAATTTCAAGGCTTCAGCGGCTCGGGCTCCTTACGCATGGTGATCTTGAAATCGGCTTGGAAATCGGCCTAAGCCTAAGCGTCGCTTCCTGGCTTCGTAGGCTTTGGAATCGGGCTTGGAAACTGAGCTTTGCAAGCTTCAAAAAACAGGGCATTTATCATAGTAATGATCTTTAAGTCATAAAAATGTTTCGTTCCTGGTTTTTTGTAAATTCAATGTTTCATATTTTCACAAATCAACGCATTTTCACCTAGTTTCAATTTCTGTTACTCACTGCCTGGCTTAAAATATTTTTTCTTGATTGAGTTGCTCTTTTTGTTTGAATGCCGCAGATTTCAGTTATTTTCTTCCTTTTCACTAACCCTTATTTTCCTAAAAATTGCCTAATTTGCATATCAAAAAATGTTTATGTAAGCTGCTGAATTAAAATTAGCAAAGGTTTTTAACTTTAGAAAAGTAAATTTAATTGAATTAAATTAACAAAAAATTCCAGACGCTCCCCGGGACGCTACTTCACCGACCCGATGTCGATGGGCCAGATGGGGCAGATGGGATCGATGAGTCCTTATGGTAATTTTGCTTAAAAAATAGGAAATAGCACGTTTTGTAAACGATTTTAGAATTTTCAATAAATCACAAAATTGTAAATATAATATAAAAATACAACCCTTCAAAATTTGCATTCTTTGGGTTTCTCAGTTTTACGCTTTGGGTTACAACCCTGAATATTGATTGATATCGCAATTTTAGATTAAAGTTATGCTTAAAAAGTTACTAAAATTAGAAAAATAAAATAGCATAAATTGAATAAAATCACTAATACATAAAAATGAAAAAATGAATTTTTATTATAAAATTTTTTAAATTGAATTTTGACCCCCTGGAATTAGCAAACATGAATTATAATAAATCTCTTCATTTCTTGATTTAAGTTTACTAATATTAATCAATTTTTAAGCAGCATTTTCATCCTCAAATTGCTAAAAAAAATAAAAAGTCGAGTTTAAAATTTTATGTTTTGAAAAATTTTGAAATCTTCGAAAATCAAAAAATTCTAATTTATCCAGTTTCGGTTTTAGATAAAGCAAATTGCAAATCTCACGAATTTTTGAAACACGGAGATTTGGGATCTTACAAAAGTAACGGAAAACCCAAATCCATTTTTTTCAGCATTTTTAGGCTACGGCTACGGTCGGCTAGGTAACGGATATGGTTTTGTTAATCCTATGATTTTTCAAAATAATTTTATAAAATAAAAACGTTTCCGTAAAATGGTAATTTCAGGCTCGATGGGTGGAATGGGAGGTATGGGAGGGATGGGCGGTATGGGCGGTATGGGCGGCATGTACGGATCGCCATACGGTAGCATGGGTGCGTTTTAGGACCCTGAAATCTTTCTAATAATTTTATAAATATTTTACAATGGGAATAAATAAAATTTCGAGATTCTATGACACATCAGCAAATTTTACAAATTCAAAAATATCAATGATCTCCAGCTTTACCAATAAAAAATGTTTAAAAATTTTTGCGATCTCCGGAATTCTAGCTATAATCTGGCGAACATAAGACAAAAAATGCCGTATTTTTGACATATTTCAGGAATGAGCGGCATGGGAATCCGCCGCCAGGCATGGAGCATGGGCGGATACGGTGGAATGGGCGGAGGATATGGGGGATATGGTGGAATGGGGTACGTCCCGAATGGTCTCTGCTAGCCTGCCCTCTCCTCTTCCTCAACAATCTCTGCTAGCCTGCCCTCTCCTCTTCCTCAACAATCTCTGCTAGCCTGCCCTCTCTCTTCCTCAACAATCTCTGCTAGCCTGCCCTCTCCCTCTTCCTCAACAATCTCTGCTAGCCTGCCCTCTCCTCTTCCTCAACAATCTCTGCTAGCCTGCCCTCTCCTCTTCCTCAATAATCTCTGCTAACCTGCCCTCTCCTCTTCCTCAACAATCTCTGCTAGCCTGCCCTCTCCTCTTCCTCAACAATCTCTGCTAGCCTGCCCTAATAAATTTCCATTTCCAGACAAATGTCGGGTCTAGGCCCGTACGGCTCGGCGTTGAATGGCGGCGGAATGGGAGGACTTGGCCTCGGCTCCGGCCTCTCCCCTACGGTTTTGAGGAGAAAATAATGTCACAATTTTATTTTGCAATTTTGTGAAATACCGTACCAATGCTAAACGGGAAATTTGAAGGTTTTTGGAAATTTCGGAACTTTTGCTTATCAATGCATCGTCGAAGGATGATTATCAAATCCAGAAAGCGAGCAGAATGGTAAAAAGTTGAAACCTATTTTTTATTGGGATTTTGAAAAAAACGATTGAATTATTTAAATTTTCGGTTTTCTTAAAAATACTTTTAAAGAATTCTCTAAATCTCGCTGAAGGTCAGAAAAATCCCAATTTGCATATTTTGTGATTCGATTTCCCGTTTGCCCCATTTTGTCTGTACATTATGCATTCACGGATTCATCTTTTTGGCTCTTCAAATTTGCGTGATTTTTAACGTTTTATAGGTACTTGAAAGTCACAGAAACGACTTATTCATGCATTAATAGACCGAAAAGAATTTTCTATGCTAATTTTTCTATTTCAAAAAGCACTTGACTTCCTGGTACTTACTACTAAGGTAAAAAACTAAAAATCACGTAAATTTTTCTACATTTTCACACATTTAAATTTATTCCGGCCATTCCCGAATTGCTGCCTTTTCCCCTGGGCGTGTGATCTGGTTGTGTCTAGCCCTTATTTTACCCCTATTTTGCCCCCGGTGTCTGTGTTTTTTGTAGCCGCGTGGAACTCGTTCCGTGGTTGCGAATAAATGGTTCAAAATATGAGAAAACTTTCGAAGAAGACACGTAAAGGATTATTTTTTTGTCCAAACTACAGTAGTAAGGATCGCTACCATTGACAAACCTCGATCAGAATGCCTAAATTCGAAATATCGACATTTCATGCCCAGAAATCTCATAATGTCGACATTTCAGGAACTAGAAATTTCACCGATGCCTAAATTCGTAATGTAAAAATTTTTCTGCTGCTCTCTCTCCATGTCTCTCTCTCACTCTGGCTCTCTCTCTTTCGCTCCCTCTCTCTCTCTCTATCTCTCGCTCTTTTTCTCTCTCCCTCTCCCTCGTCTCTCTAGCACTCTCTCGCACTCTCCCGCGCTTTCTCCGCGCTCTCTCTCACTCTCTCTCTCTCTCTCTCTCGCTCTCCCCTCGCTGTCCTTCTCTCTCCCTCGTCTTGCTATTCAAACTTTCAAACATATCGGTTTATTCGCGGGATAACAGGTGGAGGAGGAGGAGCTAAAATGGGCTCGGGAGTAGAGATCACAAAACTGGATAAATTCTTCGGAAAATAGGCAATTATTTTAATAGTCTATTATAGATAGAGGACGGCCTGGTCGCCAGATTGGTGTTGTCGGTGTTGAGGTGGGAATTGTTGGCCGAGCATTTGTCTGAAATCAAATGTCTAACTAGACTAGAACAGCCAAGCAGAGACAATTTGAGGAATTGCTGCCCCCGTAGCTGACGGGTAGGCCAGCAGAGACAATTTGGGAACGAAACTACCCTAAAACTCACTTAATGCGCTGGATTTGCAAGGCGTGCCGAGGGCGTGGTGGTCGCTGCTGTGGGCTGCTGATGTCCCTTGAGGACATGCCTGGAAGCGGTAATTAAAAGTTGCCCCGGTCTCAGCGGCGCCACCGTACCTGGCCAACTTGCTGATGCCGACTTTGACGGAGTTGGCATTCGGAGGCGTCCTCGAGGCGGAACATGCCTGGAATGGCCGGTTTTTCAAACTGAAATTCCTCAACAATCTCTTGCTAGCCTGCCCTCTCCTCTTCCTCAACAATCTCTGCTAGCCTGCCCTCTCCTCTTCCTCAACAATCTCATGCTAGCCTACACCGCTCCTCTTCCTCAACAATCTCTGCTAGCCTGCCCTCTCCTCTTCCTCAACAATCTCTGCTAGCCTGCCCTCTCCTCTTCCTCAACAACTCTGCTAGCCTCCCTCTCCTCTTCCTCAACAATCTCTTCCTAGCCTGCCCTCTCCTCTTCCTCAACAATCTCTGCTAGCCTGCCCTCTCCTCTTCCTCAACACTCTGCTAGCCTGCCCTCTCCTCTTCCTCAACAATCTCTGCTAGCCTGCCCTCTCCTCTTCCTCAACAATCTCTGCTAGCCTGCCCTCTCCTCTTCCTCAACAATCTCTGCTAGCCTGCCCTCTCCTCTTCCTCAACAATCTCTGCTAGCCTGCCCTCTCCTCTTCCTCAACAATCTCTGCTAGCCTGCCCTCTCCTCTTCCTCAACAATCTCTGCTAGCCTGCCCTCTCCTCTTCCTCAACAATCTCTGCTAGCCTGCCCTCTCCTCTTCCTCAACAATCTCTGCTAGCCTGCCCTCTCCTCTTCCTCAACAATCTCTGCTAGCCTGCCCTCTCCTCTTCCTCAACAATCTCTGCTAGCCTGCCCTCTCCTCTTCCTCAACAATCTCTGCTAGCCTACTATACTTCGTCGTCCCCCCGGGAGATCCCCCACGAGGGGGACCAGGGGGACCACAAGGGGATGGTGGGGGACCCAGGGGGGACGGTGGGGATGGGGGAGGGGGGATCCCCTCCCCTCCCCCCCCCCCCCCCCCCCCCAGTTTTCTGGCACCCGGATTGCGTAGTCGGGCAAACTAAATCGAACCTTCTAGTTCGAGATCCACATACGTTTTTTGGATAGTCTGATGTTTTTATGTTTAGATTAAGTTTCTTTTACTTTTTAAAATTAATGACGAATGGAAAATTCTGGTTTAGCTCGCCCGAGAAAACACATACTAGAAAGCTCTGATTTACCTGACAGAGTATCGAAGGAAAATCAGAGTGCTTACCAACCCAAAAGTTTAAATAATTGAAAGGCTGGGCACCCAAATCCTTGAGACTGTAATAATGGAAAATTAGAGCAAATTACCTCGTCGGGGCTCTCGGCATTAGAGAACATTCGACTACCACGTGCTGCTGTATTTTAAATTATCAAAAATAGCAGCTCTTTAACAAGTATTGAGATCTATCTAACCACACATTGCGCGCACTTGCGAGGTCGGGGGATCCCCCAGTGGTCCCCCGACCGTCCCCCCCTGGGTCACCCCACCATCCTCCCTTTGCGGTCCCCCCCTGGTCCCCCCTCGTGTGGGGATCCCCCCGGGGGGACGACGAAGTATATAGCCTACCCTCTCCTCTTCCTCAACAATCTCTGCTAGCCTGCCCTCTCCTCTTCCTCAACAATCTCTGCTAGCTTGCCCTCTCCTCTTCCTCAACAATCTCTGCTAGCCTGCCCTCTCCTCTTCCTCAACAATCTCTGCTAGCCTGCCCTCTCCTCTTCCTCAACAATCTCTGCTAGCCTGCCCTCTCCTCTTCCTCAACAATCTCTGCTAGCCTGCCCTCCAAGTCGACTTACACAGCTTATACGACCCGCGGAGCAGCATACGCCCATAGTTGAGGCATTCCGTAAGGCTGGCCTCGCAGCGCTCCGTCGAATTCTCTCCCACCAGACACTTGCGATGGTAGAAGCGGCAGACGCCCTCCTGAAATTGTTATTTAAGTTTATAGGCTCAGGCTTAGGCTTAGACTTAGACTTACAAGGAAACGTTTTTGAGTGTCGTCGGGACTTTGGCACGTGACCAAGCCTATCTTGTGCAGAATTTTACGCTGATTCCGAATATGGTAACCGTTTTTGCGGAATAGCCATTTCTCGAAAGTTATGAACGATTTAAACCTCAAAACAGCCCAAAATCGGCTACTTTCAATAGTCATAAAAGGCTTCAAAATAAGTTTTAGACAGAACCAGATAGTACATCTTGTTCAGAAAAAAATTCTCTATAAAATGTACCATCTTTTCCAAAATCATTGAAAAGTTGGAAAAATTTGATAAATTGAGAGGTCCATAATTTCACAAAAATTCTCAAAATTCCAGCATTTTTGAGTTAAGTAGCTTATTTTATAGATAATTTTTTTCTGAACGAGATGCACTATCAAGTTTTGTCTAAAACCTATTCCGGAGCCTTTTATGACTATCGAAAGTAGCCGATTTTGGGCTGTTTTGAGGTTTAAATCGTTCATAACTGCGAGAGAAATGGTTATTCGCAAAACGGTTAACATATTCGGAATCATAATGTAAAATCTTGCATAAGATAGGCTGGTCCCGTGCCAAAGTCCCGACGACACTCAAAAACGTCTCCTTGTTAGGCTTAGGTTAGGCTTTAGGCATAGGTTTATTGCGTAATTTTCTTGCTGTTACGATTCCTTTAAAATGCCTACCACATCGTCAAGGCCCTGCCCGGAGCGTTTCTCGACGTGCTGCCCGAAGGGGCGGCGCAACGGCATGACCGCCGCCGACGCGGCGGCGATCAGCGCCCCCAGGGCGACGACCAGGGCTACCGTAGTCTGCATCGGCGAGAGCCTGAAAGGTGACCTGATTTTTGAAGTAAGTGATGGCAAAACTTGAAGAAGGAAGAATTGTTTATTACTCCGGTAAGGTACACCGGCGGCATTAATTTGAAAGAAACATTAGACATGCAAGAATCGAATTCCAGCCAAGTCCGGAAGCGAAAATTTCGACAATGAAAATCCCGGCACTCAAAATATCGACAGCCAAAATCCCGACATCTTTTGACCGGATTTTGCATGCTGCGTATTTTCGAACAGCTATTTTTACCTGTCGGAATTATGTTTGTTTCCCGTAAAGCAAAACATCGATTTTGCATCTTGCAAAACAAATGGCAAAACCGAGGGCAAGCTAGCAGAGGTTCTTTGAGTGAAACAAGAGGCTGAGGGCAGGCTAGCAGAGGTTCTTTGAGTGAAACAAGAGGCTGAGGGCAGGCTAGCAGAGGTTCTTTGAGTGAAACAAGAGGCTGAGGGCAGGCTAGCAGAGAGTTCTTTGAGTGAAACAAGAGGCTGAGGGCAGGCTAGCAGAGGTTCTTTGAGTGAAACAAGAGGCTGAGGGCAGGCTAGCAGAGGTTCTTTGAGGCCCAAAGATATTGTAATTCTACGTGAAATTCTAACCGAACAGGCAGGCTATCAAAGTTTCCGATGGAAAATTCATGGTCATCTGAAGGTTAACTGGGACTTCTGGAGGAATTTTCAGGCGAGGTCAGGCTAGCAGAGGCTCCTAGGAAAACCTTCCGCCAAGGGCAGGCTAGCAAATACTCTTAGAGAATCAGCAAATCAGGAAAAAATCTAATTTCGGCAGGCAGGCCAGCAGAGATTATTTCGGAAGGCTACAAAAACCACCAAATTGTATCCTTTTGTCGTTTACACCTAAGCCCAACCCCCCAATTTCCGGAAGTAAAATCCTGCAAAGCGGTGACTGTGTGTGTGAGAAAAAGCTGTGAGTAATTGGCACCCCGTGACGGCCGGCGGTCGTCCAAATTTCTGGCCCCACTAAAATGCACCCGGGGAATTACCGTATCCTTGGGATGTCTGCTCATCTTTGATGAGGTTAAGTCTCAAAATCAACAAATTAATAGCTTTAAAAACCCCCTGGGATTGTTTGGCGAGAGAGCTAGAGAGAGAGACCGAGAGAGAGCTAGAGAGAGAGAGACAGAGCAACGTCACCAACTTCTGAGAAAAATAACCGGTTTCAAAGATTAAAAATTATGGTGTTCTCAAAAAACAAATCCGATAAAATTCCAGGTGATATAATCCCCGAAAATAAATCTCTTTTACCAAAACTAATCTGGAGGTTTTTATGAGGATGCAGATTAACGCGGGATCGGAAGAAACAAGGGTGGTTACGGTAGGGCGAAAGAAGATGTGGATTAAATTAGTATTTTCTTTTCACACGTACAGGGAATTCTCGTGAATTTTGGAATAATGCACGAGTTCGAGGAGTTCAAAATGCCGTTTTTCCTCCCCTTTTTTCCTCAACAATCTCTGCTAGCCTGCCCTCTCCTCTTCCTCAACAATCTCTGCTAGCCTGCCCTCTCCTCTACCTCAACAATCTCTGCTAGCCTGCCCTCTCCTCTTCCTCAACAATCTCGGCTAGCCTGCCCTCTCCTCTTCCTCAACAATCTCTGCTAGCCTGCCCTCTCCTCTTCCTCAACAATCTCTGCTAGCCTGCCCTCTCCTCTTCCTCAACAATCTCTGCTAGCCTGCCTCCCAAAAAGTGTGTCCTACCCCCATTGAATGGATAATAATATGGTAAATTAAGTGGTCCTCGGAATTGAGTAGTGGCCGACGTGTGTTGTTGTGCCGATTTGTGAGCGGTGGCGGAAAATTGAGATGGGATGGGGCGGGGGAGGAGTAGAGCAACAGAAATAGGCTGGAATGGGGGGGATGGGGGTGGTGAGAATGGCCAATTATGCATTCCTGCCCCCCACGGCGGTTCCGTTCCCCAGAACACGCCCCCAATTCTGGGTGGCAAAAAAAATTGAGATGAGGAATCCGGGAAACGAACGGTTCCAATTGGAACATGATAATTTGGAAGAGTGTGGCAGGCTAGCAGAGACCAGTTGAGGAACTGTAATGCCAGGACAAGCTAGCAAAGACAATTTGAGGAAAAACCAGGCTACCAAAAGACAATTTGAGGAATTCTGGCCCGACGGCAGGCTAGCAGCGACAGTTTGAGGAAAGAGACATCCGAAACTACCGTATCTATGTCCTCAACGAACCCAAAAAAAGTGAATTTATGCTTCGTGTCTACGTGCCCCCACAATCTCTCCGGGACCACCTACTCACAAAAAAATCCAAAAAATCGCAAGACGAGAAGCCGGGTGAAAGGTGACACCCCGATTTGGGGCGTCTGAGCATAACATAACAAGGCAATTTGGGCCGCCTGGCCGATTTCAGCGATTCCGGAGGAATACTCGTTGCGTATTCGCGGCAGGATGGCGGAGATCGTTTGAGAAGTACGCGTAAGTATTGAGACGACAAAAAAAGGACAGATTCTACAGATAGGCAAGCCTGAGATTTTGTAAATCCTTGAAACATTATTTCAGTAGCTAAAAACGAGTCGGCAGTCTAGCAGAGATTCTTTGGGGAAAGTGGAATTCTGCTTCCGAAAAGGCAGGCTAGCAGAGACCATTTTGGAATTGTGTGCAAGTATTCGGTCGGCAAAAACAAGCGTCGATTCGATAGATAGACAATCCTTAGGTTTTGTGAATTTTTAAAACATTTCCAGGCAGGCTAGCAGCGATTATTTAAGAACGGCCCGCTCCCCCCTAACTAGGGAATGTTTTCGGGCGGACATCGGACCCAGCTATGTGAGTATGTGCATCTTGTAGAGCTCGACGAGACGAATCGATTGATGTAACTTTTAGCTGCGGATACCTCTTTTTAATAAAGTTACAGCCGTTTAAAGTTTTTCGCCATACCTTCATAATCCCTCCCCACACCCCAACCGCCGTGCTCTGGTAGTCTAGTGGGTTAGTGGTCGGCGTCTCGGGATGGTGACGAGGGTACGGATCTGCTCACGATTTTTAGTTTTTGCTTTTTGGTCGAAAGCTTCCATTTTGCATCCCGAAGGACTACATTAACTTTTTTTTCAATTTGCTAATCATATCATATCCCTATTAAATAAACACCAGGGTTGAAAAGCCGCTACGCGGCTTTTCACCCCTGGCCTTTGCGCGGGGATCTTTAAAAGGTGGGCTTTGCATAATTCGGGCGTAGAGCTAGAGCGAACCCTGAAAAATAGCAAAAACAACCGGCCGCGAGCGCGACAAAAGCCAAAATGCGGCTCCTAGCGCCTCGTATGCAAATTAGTCTATTTCCATATATTTTTAAAACGTTAAAATAAGGTATAAAACGAACTTTTAGTAAAAATCTGATAAGCGTGCAGTAATCTACGCCCTCGACTACCCCTGACTACCTTATTTCTGGACCAAAAAATTCTTTCCCCCTTTGAGTTATGGTTGGAACCCGGGTTTTTATGCAAAGTGTCTACACACACACAGACACTATTTTTTTATATATAGTAGGATAAGCGGAACAAAGGATTTTTCGAGCTATAGTCATCAACCTTGGTGTGGGTGAAACTTGCGAAAAAACCAATGAATACCGTCACCAACTTCTTTGGTGTGGGTGCTGGCGATAAAAAATGAAAAAAAAAAGTTAATGTAGTCCTTCGGGATGCAAAATGGAAGCTTTCGACCAAAAAGCACAAAATAAAAATCGTGAGCGGATCCGTACCCTCGGTACCATCCCGAGACGCCGACCACTAACCCACTAGACTACCAGAGCACGGAGGTTGGGGTGTGGGGAGGGCTTATGAAGGTATGGCGAAAAACTTTAAACGGCTGTAACTTTATTAAAAAGGGGTATCCGCAGCTAAAAGTTACATCAATCGATTCGTCTCGTCGAGCTCTACAAGATGCACATACTCACATAGCTGGGTCCGATGTCCGCCCGAAAACATTCCCTAGTAAATTGCTCTTCAATGACAAGGAAGCAGCGTCCATTTCGGAATTTCGACTGGTTATTGCAACAGGCCGAAAAGAGTGGAATGGCAAAAATGGTCAAGACGACGATTCGCCAGTTAGGCAAGCTTAGAATTTGGTGAATTCCTGAAACATCGTTTTGATTCCCAGTCACCTGATCGAAAAATCGCCTGATCGAAAATCTCCTGATCGAAAAGTCGCCTGATCGAAAAATCGCCTGATCGAAAATCGTCTGATCGAAAAGTCGCCTGATCGAAAAATCGCCTAATCGAAAATTGCCTGATCGAAAAGAACCCCACCGAATTGCTTCTGATCGAAATTATTCTGATTTACAGCATGCCTAACTCAAATCCTTTATTCACATAATATGAGTGAACGGCATGATTTAAACGAAAAATTAGAATAGGCACGAATTAGGTCAATGTCTTTGCAATGGCAGTCAAGATCTCGCCGTAGCAAATCCTTATCAAAGTTGTAGCATATTTTCTCGTCCGGTCGCGTTTCAATTTCCACATGGTCGGGTGCTTGTAGCCAAAGTGTTGGTTGAGTGCGTTGTTCGTGCCTAAGTCTAAGCCTAACCACGAAGCATGGTATGACAAATTACTTCCAGGTGCTGGGGCAAGAATAATTTTATTTCACCTGGTGTGGTCCTTCAGCCCGGATAATTTTCGATCGGACGATTTTCGATCAGACGATTTTCGATCGGACGATTTCGATCAGGCGACTTTTCGATCGAGCGACTTTTCGATCAGGCGACGATTTTCGATCAGGCGATTTTCGATCAGGCGATTTTCGATCAGGCGATTTTCGATCCAGGCGATTTCGATCGGTGTGTTTTCGATCAGACGACTGCCAAC